TAAGAGCACCATGCAGCTGATCTGCTACTCCAAGACTTGAGAACGGTCTCGAACAGATACTTGAATTTGGTAAGTAATAAGCTATTCACTACATCTCAGTAAGAAAAATTTCCCCTTTTTTCGTCAAATCTTACTTTTGTTTGTTTGTAAATTTTTACAATTTGATCCCAATTTGAACCAATATGGAAACAGGTCAAGGGATTCTGGTTACAAACTTCAAAAAGAGGTGCTTTGATTTTTGCCAAACAATAAGATACATGCTTATCTGATTAGAGCAAGATTGAAGGGTACCCTTTTCGTCAATGAAAAACAAAAATAGCCGCAACATGATTGTCTTGATACCAACCAATCGCAGACATCTGCTCGGATTGGCACCATTTTTCTTTTTCTTTTTTTTTTTTTTCGCAAACTTAACATAACGACGCACTACCCACAAATAGCAGAGCTAGTCTCGGCGGGCAGTGTGTGGACACTAAAACATCTTAAATAAATTTCGGCTCAACAAAAGATTCAATAAATATACAAGAAACAGAAATTAAATATTAAATCAGTAAAGCAGAAATGACAATATAAGATAAAAATACAGAAACAGAATCACATGAAAATAAATAGAAGAATACATAAGTTATACTATTAACTGGATTGACTTTCGACACATTGATTATTCGTTCTACGTCAGTTTTCGTTGGTGTTTCACGTGCGGGTAACGGCTAACGCTATTGAGACGCTCTAACCTCTGACCCAGTTATTTGAAAGATTCATGTAGTGTTTTAGTTAATCATTTACCTTAACTAATTAATATTCTTATGCTGTATATATACATGCTGTACATATGTGATCTGTTGATCTGGAATGTAATCACGTGATACCCGTATCCACATTTAGGTATGATTCCTGTGTAATAATAGTAGAGTTGAATAAAGACTTGTGTATGACAAGAGCTCTGCCTCCATGAGTATAACTCTCTATCGAAATATTACCGAACCCAAGAACTCGACAATTCATGTATTTCCGGCAAGCATGCCTCTGTCTGCATATTCTGTCACTTGCTGAAATTTGAAACATAATCTCTAACTTAAGATATGCCAGCTTTAGTTTAATAAACGTTTACTAAGAAAAAGTTCTTGTGCGCAAAAAGTTTTGAAAAGTATCAAAATATATATCAGTCAGTTCGCGACCCGTGAATAGTAAAGACACGAAATTTGAGTCTCCTGAATGCCTCAGGAATAACAAATGAGAAATGGAATCGTATCCACTAATTATGAGAAAAAACCTAACCATTGCAAAGGTCAAAGAAATTAAGCCGTTAACCATAAAAATAATATTTGACAATTTTTTTAAGCGCTAGTCGTACATTAAGTTAACCATAAAAATTGCTTCATTTTTGGGATAACTGTGAGCCGTAAAAGACCCTGTCCTCCCGTCGACCTAGCAACTGACCAGCTGTGTTCCTCCTCAAATTGGTGCCCAGTCTTTTCGAGCAGCGATGTTTATGTTTTTTTAGCAAAATGGCGGACAGGTTGAAATTGTGTTGCCTCTAGAAGCAGTGTTATCAATGTGATTTCTGGATCGCGCGCATCTTCTAATTAGTATCTGTTTGGAATTTAAATTTTACTACGCAGAAAATTTATCTGACGTGAATTGATTAAAACCTCAGCTAAAACAAAAATGCGTATCAACTGACAGGCCAAATTGTTATGGATAACGCGTCTCTGTTTTGCACCGATGGTCCATTCACTGTTTTTAAGATTATCCCTTACATTGAAACATAACTCAACAGCATGGTATAAACAAATAATCTACGCCGTTGGAGGCCTTCAGATGTACAAAAAAGCCTGATGAGTAATGCTTCAGCATAGATGACAGGTATTAGACGTTGTTAACAACAGACATACGTAATCTCACACAACTGCTTCACGTTCAAGTTTACCGATCGCGAAAGATATGCTGCAGGATAAAGTATTTCTTGAGGATGCGATAAAAACAGAAGAAGAGACTGAGGAATCAAGTTCTAGTGACGAGGAACTTCCAGACGTAATAATTGACCGGCCCCACTCAAAATTGTCCTCTTTTGACGGTGGGCTTCTTTTAGTGTGGGGCTGTGGAGAATTTGGTCAGCATGGTCATGGCCATTTTAAAGATGTGCTCATTGATGATGCTTTAGCTAGTCCCTTGTGGTTGGGACAAGACAGGATGGTCGTTGAAGTAGCTTGTGGATCAAGTCACACTTTGGTCCTTACTGGTCAGTACAGCTTCATGAGTGATTTTTAATAATAAATTAATCATTACAAACTGCTATTTGTTAAATACTGATCACAGTCAGACTACCCTCTGTAACCTTTTGTTTTAACAATTTACTGGGTTCACATCATCATAATTGTTTCTCTTTTGTTTTAAACTTTCCATATGTGATTGTCATACAAAAATAATGCTCATCAGCCATCCAAAATGAGAAATTTCTTGGCTGCTACACTGAATCCTTTGCCTAAATCTTGATGGCCTGAGCTACTTTCAGTTAATATCCAAAGAATACATGTAGATGTACAGTATTCCTCTAACTTAACATTTTTTCCTTCTGCTAAATTTTGCAAATCGCAAATGAAGCGGTTAGACAAGTCTGTGCATTCCCACACTTTAATTCTTCTCTTTGCTGGTTTTAATGGCGTATTATATTATTTTAGGGAAGTTCTTCCTTTAAAAGGAATCATTGCCTCATTCATCGAATCAGTCAGTGACCAGGCCGGTATTTGCAACAAACAGATTCACAACAACTCAACCAGCATCCTTGTTCCACTCTTGTTCGTCTTCTTCACCACTTTCCTGATCACTAAGATCGAGATCTGACAAATCCTCTGTGTCAACTGATGAAACAGAAATGTCAGATTCTGACTCATGATTATTTCATTCAAACCCCAGCTCAATAGTGAAGCCAATGAACTCTTCTTCCTGGCTATCAGAATTGAAAAGCGCTGCCATTTTAAAACTACAAGTCATATTAAACAAATTTCAATTTGCAATTTCTCAGTAAATTCAAGTAAACACCATCCCTGAAAGTTGACATGAACTGAGCTTCTACTCTAACCCTATTGGTTAAAACACAAGAGGCCAGAAGAAACAACAAAAATAAGAATTTTTTATTGGTTAGAATTGACCATTATGTAGAGTGCCTGATATGGCACACTTGGGAATTTGAGGGGTGGTACGCACAAGTGCCATTTAAGGCACGGTCAGATGGAAAAGGGTTTAATGAAAACCCTGTTTTCATACTGTATGTGTGATTGACCCAGCTTATACTGCATTTGCTGACTTGGCAGCCTGTATATCATTCCATTCCATTTTGTATAACGCAGTTGGAAGAAGCCTGAGTGGAGTGAGAGCTTTGTGATAGCATTGGGCAAAAGCAAGTAGAGAAAGCAACAACCGAAGAAGAAAAAACTGATTCACGGGCTAATTTATCTTTGTATATGACATGATGTATTTCATTGTTTTTCATGTAGATGATAACAAGATATACAGTTGGGGGAACAGTAACAGTGGCCAGTTGGGAGTGGATACTACTGAAACCAGTCCTGATCCCCGCCTGGTGCACTTGGGGGTTTCATCAGGCACTAAGCTGACAGAGATCACATGTGGTACAAGACACAGCTTTATATGGACGCAAGATGGTGACTGTTTCAGTTTTGGCAATAATTATAGTGCGCAGTTGGGATATGATTTCAGGAAACCGGATTTCAAGGAAAACCAGGTGAAGTTTTATATTAGTTTGTATACATGTTTTTATTTAAACAATAGAGTGTTTTTGTCGAGGAACTATCGGTTGATAGTTGCCCCGCGGAAATTTGATGTTCTTAAAACAAATATATGCCCGAGAAGCAAAGCTTCAAGGGCAAATTTGCTAGTTTTAAGAACATCAAATTTCCAAGGGGCAACTATCAGACCGATAGTTCCGAGACATAAACACTCTTGTTTTTATTCTTCATCACTAAATTTCTTCCGCACCTACTGCTTGTCACAAATGTCAATAATTCACAACCATACATTGGCTAAATAATACGTTATACCTGTCAGAGTTGAAAAGTCACTGTTTTTCCGATCTGCCTAACTTCACGGCTGTCAAACTATTCAAAACTTTTCACGGATGAGTACTATCAATCCAAGTATTTTCCGCGGGTGAGCACTATCCATCCGGGTATTTTCCGCGGGCGGGCACTATGGGCTGATAGTGTCTCTCCACAGATGAACACTATCGCATCACGTGATTGATTTAAACCAATAAGAACCGGAGCAAATTTGACACGGGTGAAGAGTTTCTAATGCTTAAGTTCAGAGCATTTTCCCTCTGCCAGAGCAAACCAATGGCTCTGAGGAAACCTATTTCACCAGCAGGTAATTATAACTTCTCTGTATGTCCTAAAGTGAGGTTTATATTTTCCCCAAACTTATGAAAGCTTTTAACCATTGGGCATCATTAGCCATTTCTGATTCAAGAGCCCACAAGTACCCGCAACCAGTTATTATCACAATTTAATATTTTTTCATAATATTGTGCAAATTAACATTTGGATATGATCAAATGTGCATCACAACACTTTTTGGAGGACTTTGGCCGGACTGCATCAGCAGTTTACAATCAATTGAAGGAAACTTGTTTGAAGATGCCCCCTCCCCCCCAATTCCCAGTAAAACAGGCCAGACCATATCACAGTAATCTCGTGAGTGGGTTCTTTAACGTCCCCTGCCCAACCAAATGAACTAATTAATGGATGCAGGAGATGGTACCTTCAGTTTATTTGTCCTTATCTGAGAAAACTAGAATGTCTATCCATTTCTTGATATTATAGAAAAGTAGCACATTCTCAGTTATTTTAAGACCTTGAGTGTTGGTCTGGCCAGGGCTTGAACCCTCGACCTTCTGCACGACAGTCCAGTGCTCTAACCAATTGAGCTAACAGGGAGGCGGTTGTAGAGCATAACTTTGGAGATCTTTCTTTTAATCTGTGTACCATTGTTTCCTCTTTTTCTTGTAGCTTCTACCAGTTTTTGTAGATACTCTTTTACAGCGTTCTGTTTCTCAAGTTGCTTGTGGAGCTCGCCATTCTGTATTTTTGTTTACTAATGGACAAGTGGCTGCTGTTGGGGTAAACAACAGAGGCCAAATCGGATGTGGCGATACCGTAGATGTGATCTGTCCAAAGACTGTTCCTGACTTACCACCAATTTCTGTTATTGCTTGTGGCAACAGTCACAGTATAGCTGCAGATGGTATGTAGCTCAATGTGCAAAAAACTTATGAATTCTAGAAAAATGTATGTTTGAGAGATTAAACACACTTGTCACACTTAGTCTAATGTCAGGGCCTGATTGTTCAAATGGTGGGTGATGCAATCGAATCAATAAATCACTATCCAGCAGATATTAGTGTCAAGAACAATGTATTGTGCTATCAATGGCATAGTGATTGAACAAGAGAAGATATGCCATTTGCGGATTGGCCTTGTAAGCCATCTGAGGACACACAACTAGGCTGAAACGCGAGCAGACATCATACTCGAATACCGAGGGATTGCAAATGACGATTCATCAAGAGGATAGTGAGATAGAATAAATATATGAAGTTCATATATTTTGAACTGCGGTATTAGATACGTATGATGCACGATCCTCGCAGTAGATAGCGCTATTTATGCAATAGCGAAAATCAGACCTGAAAAAAATCAGGCCTGTACGGGACTCGAACCACTGACCTCTGCGATACTAGTGCAGCGCTCTACCAATTGAGCTAACAAGCCAACTGGGAGCAGGCCGTTAAGTTGATTCGTAATAAACCCGTGAAAGTGATAAATGAGATACAATGAATATATGAAGTTCATATATTTTGAACTGCGGTATTAGATACGTATGATGCACGATCCTCGCAGTAGATAGCGCTATTTATGCAATAGCGAAAATCAGACCTGAAAAAAATCAGGCCTGTACGGGACTCGAACCACTGACCTCTGCGATACTAGTGCAGCGCTCTACCAATTGAGCTAACAAGCCAACTGGGAGCAGGCCGTTAAGTTGATTCGTAATAAACCCGTGAAAGTGATAAATCAGATACAATGAA